CAGTGTGGCTTCCACCATTTGGACACGTCATCCTCTTCTGCCCAAGCAGAGTGGGTACACATAGGTCCTAAGTACATCTCTGCTGATTGTCGGAGAGATCTAAGGAGGAGGCTTCACCACACACATGTTGCCCATGTTACCTGTCAGTTTAAACTCCTTCAGTGGTTCCTGTGCCTTTAGGACAAAATCCAAGCTGAGTTCATCAATTCATTCCCCTTCTAGTCTCACTTGCATCTGTATCTTCACCATCATATAGCCTGAATCCTGCATCCTGTGGCCTCCCTGTCCTATAGTCTGTATCCTGCATCTGTATCCTCACCATCCTATAGCCTGTATTCTGCATCTGTATCCTCACCATCCTATAGCCTGTGTCCTGTGTCTGTATCCTCACCATCCTATAGCCTGTATCCTGCATCCTGTGGCCTCACCATCCTATAGTCTGTATCCTGCATCCTGCATCCTGAATCCTGCATCCATAGCCTCACCATTCTATAGCCTGTGTCCTGTGTCTGTATCCTCACCATCCTATAGCCTGTATCCTGCATCCTGTGGCCTCACCATCTTGTCTGATGTGGTTAGCAGTGCTCCTGGTAAGGTGTACGCTGAGTGTAATGGATGAGAGTCCTACTGGTGATGAACCTGGATGGAACGTGGCCATCTCTCAAACCCAACCATGGAGTTTTACTACTGGAAGAGTCCACACTGATACTTTTCTCTGCTGCAGTCTCCTCCTCGAGATAAGTCCATGGTGAAGTTGTTGTGAGTGTTGAGTGTGTGACTGTGTTGAGCACATAAATCAGCACCCAGAACATGCACATCCTTCATAACTGCTATCCCAGAATCACAGCAAACACAACGTGATGTTGCCTGCTGCCTGCTACACTCTCCCGCACCCTTGATTGACAGTTGCATCCCTCATTCCGTCTCAGTCCCTACAACCTGACTTCTCTGAAGCCATTGCTGCTGTGGGTTGCAAGCGTTTGCAAGGGAGTTAGTGTGGGGTTTTCAAATCCAGGTTCTGCTGTTCCCTCTTTTACTCTAGGATTAAGATTTAAGTATAAAATTAGGATTAGGGTGAGCTGGGAGGTAGGGCAAAGAGGCAGGAGAAAGGCATGATCTGAGAAGGAAATTAACCCAAACTAGGTGTTAGGAAATGGTCACAGGGAAACCTGTTACTTTGTGTGCTAATTGAAACATTAGAAATAAATAAATCAAGTCAAAACTTGTAACAACAAAATATCTGCCAGGGAAGAAGTAGTTCATTTGTAAAACTATATAAAGTCTTCACACACCTTGGGTTGTGGTTTTCTTAGCAGCTTTTCTCAACTGTTTTCAAGGGCTTGCTGACTGATGGAAAAGCAGTTCTCCCAACACTCAGGAGATGGAGACAGAAGGGTTGGGAGTCCAAGGTCACTCTTAGCTGTCTGTCTAGTTTGAGGCCATCCTGGGCTGACCTGTTCCTGTCACAATGGAACAAAACAAACAAAAAAAGAACGAGCCAAGGTATTATCATAATCCCTGTACCTGTTGCTATTGCTTCTGGGCAGGAAGCTGAGTTAAAGGTTGACAAGGTCTTTGTCATCCTCCTGTCAGAAACACCAACACAGCAATACAGCGTTAGTCACTGCGCTGCCTCGAACACAGTTAGCCTCGACTACGACATGTAACCCTCGTCACTCAAAGCGGAGGACTGCGATTGGGGGAGACACTGTAAAGGACGAACTGTCTGTCCTTGGAAAAGACTGAAGCTGGAGTTTCAGCTTTACCTGATGCCACAGGGCTTTATTTGGCACCAGAAAAATAGGAGTAGAAATCTGACCCAGAGGACTTCTTTCGGACGGCCGGGATACAGCCCAGTCTTCCCCATAGGACCAACTGTATCATCATGCTTCTTCAACATGGTGCTCATTTATTGATCAAGGACAACCTGCTCTCTACCACTGACTGATTACCACAGTATAAATCCTCTGATCATGGTGTTTTCAATCTGCTACTCTGACGCCAAGCAGTCCCCACAGTTCCTCAACATGGCCCACTTGTCCATAGCAAGCTGACTCCAGCATACTAGTGTTTGGAATTCTTGTATCAGGTGATCCTCCTGCATCATAGAAGCCCCATCATCTCCACTGTGAGTGTGAGGGATCAGTGTGGAGCAGCTAGAACCCTAGACACGAGGGTGCTTTCACAGTGCCCATGTACTCACCTGGATTCTAGACTCTTTGCCCTTGCTATCCTGGTCTTGTACCCAGAGACACCGAGGTTCTTTTGGGGGGTTCTTGGTCTCAGTAATAAAAGAATTTCAAAACGGACTCAGAAGGAGGCTCGAGAACAGTTTATTCAATTTTATTTGAGTGTATGAGGAAAATTATAGTATAGATTAGGTGAAAATCCTGGCCACTGCCAAGAGAAGAGATGGGGGAAAGTCTTGTCCTTTAAGTTAGATATGGGATATATTTAAAGTTCAGAGCACCCCCAAGGGT